AGACAAAAACAGGGTCTCTACCTTCAAGGAGCTCACATTCTCCTGGAGGAGACATTCAAATAACTAAGTACGTACAAGATAGATTGTATACAGGGTAGATAGAAAGTAATTTGAGAGAGACAATGCAGCGGATAGTGTTGTACACAGAGCTGGGGAGAACTAAGTTGGAATCCTGCTTCTGACATTAGCTATGTGACTATGGGCAAGCCACTTAATCTTTCAGTTTCTGTTTTCTTATCTGTAAAATGGGGACAAGAACACCTGAAGTACCTTACTTCACAGGGGATATTGTTTTTCCTTCAATTAATAGCATTTTATTTCTTCCAATTACATGTAAATATAGTTTTCAACATTCACTTTTATAAAATTTTTAGTTCCAGATTTCTTCTCCCTCCCTCCCTCCCTTCCACTCTCCCAAAGACAGCAAGCAATCCTATATATAACCTATATGTACAATATATACATATATATATATACACATATATGGGCTATATATGCATAGCTTATATGTACAATCATATTTAACATATTTTCACATTAGTCATGTTGTGAAAGAAGAATCAGAATCAAAGGGAAAAACCACAAGAAAGATAAAACAAAAAAAAAAAAAGAAAAGAACAAATAGTATGCTTCGATCTGCATTCAAGCTCCATAGTTCTTTCTCTTGATATGGATAGCATTTCCCATCATGAGACTTTTGGAGATGTCTTAGATCCTTGCATTGCTGAGAAGAACCACATCTATCAAAGTCAGTCATCACACAATGTGGCTGTTACTGTGTACAATGTTCTGGTTCTGCTCATTTCACTCAGCATCAGTTCATGTAAGTCTTTCCAGGTTTTTCTGAAATCATTCTGCTTACCCTGAAATTATTTCTTATGGAACAATAGCATTACATTACATTCATATATAACAACTTGTTCAGCCATTCCCCAATTAATGGGCATCTCCTCAATTTCTAATTCTTTGCCACCACAAAAAGAACTGCTACAATTAATTTTGTACATGTGTGTCCTTTCCCCTTTTTTATGATATTATCTCTTTGGGATACAGAACTAGTAGTGGTATTGCTGGATCAAAGGGTATGCACAGTTTTATAGCCTTTTGGGCATAGTTCCAAATTGCTCTCCAGAATGGTTGGATCAGTTCACAACTCCACCAACAATGCATTAGTGTTCCAATTTTCCCACATCTTCTCCAACATTTATCATTTTTCTTTTTGTCATATTAGCCAATTGGATAGGTGGAACTTTAGAGTTGTTTTGATTTGCATTTCTCTAATCAATAGTGATTTAGAGCATTTTTTCATATGATTATAGATAGTTTTAATTTCTTCATCTGAAAACTGCCTGTTCATATCCTTTGACCACACAGGGGATATTGTGAGGTTCAAATGAAATCCTGTATGTTAAACACTTGGCAAATTCAACCTGTTCTTTTGTTTTTCTGTCATGTCTAACACTTCATGACCCCATGTGGGATTTTCTTGAAGTACTTTGCCATTTCCTTCTCCAGCTGAGGAAACTGAGGCAAACAGAGTTAAGTTACTTGACCAGCTTCACATAGGCCAGATTTGAACTCATAAAGATGAGTTTTCCTGACTCCAGGCCTGGCCCCTCTAGTTGCCCCAAACTTAACTTCAAATGCTAATTACCTCTTCCTTTTTTTACATTTTTTGGAGGGCTAGGCAAAGGGTTTAAGTGACTTGCCCAGGGTCACACAGTTAGTGAGTGTTATGTATCCGAGGCCAGATTTGAACACAGGTTCCCCTGACTCCAGGGCCCATGCTCTACCCACTGTGCCATCTAGCTGCCCTTACATTTTCTTATAACACATTGTTTTGGGAGCTCTCCTGTGCCCTTCTTCCTGTCTACCTAAGATCACAGGATCACTTATCCAGAGCTGGAAGGGACCTAAGAAGTCATCAACTACTCCATCCTCTCTGTTTTACAGATTAAGGCACTGAGGCCCAAGGAGGTAAAGTGAGTTGGCCAAGATCACATAGCTACTGAGCATCAGAGCTGGGATTTAGATTGTAGGCTAAGCTGGAAGGGGCCTCCGAAGATTCCCTTTCTTGCCCAGCCTCCTCATTTTACAGATGAGGAAACAGGTAAAGTGATTTGCTCCAAATCACTCAGATAATATGTGTCAGAGGTGGGTGATAACATAAGGTGCTTTGAATGTTTACTGAAAACTGGCTACATGAGTAATATTTATTCTTTTTCCATCTCAAGTCAATGAGGGCTGAAAGTGTTGACACACGGAAGAAACTTTCTCCCAGTGTCTATCACAGAATGTTCCATCTGGGAGAGCCCTTAAAAGATTATTGAGTCTAGCCCTCATTTTACAGGTGAGAAAAAGGAGTAATTTTCCAGTGGTCACCCAGCATTGAGACTTGAGCCTAGGTGTTCCGACCCAAAGCCCAGCCTTTGTTTCACCACTTTTCATGGCTGCTTCTATAGATGATGCATGTTGGGAGCCCCAAGAACAAATCAGTTTGGAGCTACAGTAGCCCTAACATAAGGAAGGCAACATGATTTAATAGAAAGCATGTGAGATTTGGAATTGAGGACCCAGATTCAATTTCCACCTATTACCTTATTATCTGTGATTTTGGGTTAAGTCATTTAACCTCTGTAGGTTTCAGTTTCCTCGTCTGAAAAAAAACCAACTTGATCATAATATGATAGATTTCGTACTGGAAGGAACCTGAGGCCATTTAGTTCAAATCTTTAATTTTACAGATGAGGATACTGAGGGCCAAGTGATTTGTCTAAGGCCATACAGGTAGTAAGTGGAGTGGGGTGGGGGTGGTTCCAGATCCTCTGAATCCAAATTCAGATCATCTCCAAGGTCCCTCATCCAGCTCCAAATCTAGGATCTTGGGTAAGACTGATATGGGCTGAGAGCATTCTATTCTTACTATGCTTTGGTGGGTTCATTAATTCCGTGGAAAGTTCCTTTGCTATAAATCCCATTACAACAAGGTATACCATTTTCCAAACCTTGGCTGATAGCTCACCCATTTTAAACAATATTGGATACAACTGAATTCTAGTAATAGTAATACTGCGAAAAGTTACTCCCATGCAATGGGTCTCTGTTTCTTCATCTGGATCATAGAATCATAGACTTAGGACCTTCAGAATCATCTAGTCCAATCCCCTATGAGCTCCTTGAAAGCCTGTCTTTGTATCCACAGTACTTAGCACAGTGCCTAGCATATAGTAGGCATTTAATAAATGCTTGTTGACTCATTGACTAAGCCCCACAAAGGTATAGTGACTTCCAGGCCAATTTGCTAAACCAGGATTTAAACACAATTCTTCCAGGCAGAGATCCTTTTTCTCTACAGGGCTGCCTCTTCTGTAAGGTTGTTGCATTGACCTCCTCGGTCCAGATCCCATGATCCTGTCCTTACATTTACATAGCCCTTAATAGATGACCAAAAAAAGGTCATGGGTGTTATGTTGTCTGATCCTTTGAGACAGGTAAGGCGGTAGGTTGTAGGGGTAGAGTGCTGAGTGTCCAGTCAGGAGAGACAAGGATTCAGATCCCAGCTCTGACCTTGCCTGGCTGTGTGACTTAGGCAAGTCACAATGTCTTCAAGCCTCAGTTACAGCGGTAGTAATACTTTAAAACCCATCAGAAATCTTAAAGTACTATAGAAAAGGGAGTTGTTATTATTCCCATTTTACAAATGAGGAAAAAGGTGGTGACTTGTGCAAAACTGCAGTTTGTTAGTGACAGGGCCAAGATTTGAATCCAGATCCTTCTGACTCCTTGTCCTTGTCTCTTTTAACTACTATGCCTTTTTATTTCACCAAAAGAACTCAGCTGGCCTCTAAGGTTCGGGGACTTCTTTTGTGAATATCACATGTACATTTCAGTTCAGCCACCATCCTAGAGGATTAGAACTTCCAGGGTATTTACAAGTGGGAAGATTAGCCTGGTTTCAGGCTGTTTAAGGTGTCAGCTGCTGAGGGAGGGTGGGACATGGCATTTTCCCTGCAAGTGGCTAAGCCGCTACTTTTGTTTGCAGTAAACTTGCTCAGCTTCTCTGAACTGCACCAGTTTGGGACTGACTTCCCATCAATTGATGTGCTTTTCAGGGGGACATCCCTGACTGACCAGCGGCATAGCCTTGCATTTCCCCTTTCCACCCACTGCCAGTTACAAAACCCACTTGAATTAAGTGTGGACAGCCAGCCCCATACTGTATACAAAGAGGAGGCAGAGGCTGGAGGGCAGAGTGGTGGTGGTGTCAAGGGAGGATAGAGCTTGCAAGGGACTTAGAGGGTAGAAATCCCATTTCCTCATTTTACAGATGAGGAAACTGAGGCCCAGGAAGAATAAAGTGACTTGCCCACAGGTAGTAAGCAGTGGAGGTGGACTTTGGAACACAGATTTAGAACTGGAAGGCGCTGCTGGCGGCGCTGCCGGCGGCGCTGCGCTGCGCTGGGACGATCCGCGGAGCGGCGGCTGCCACTTAGCCTGC